GCCTTCTCTGTAAAATGTTCTACCTCTGTCTCAGTCAGGCTTTGGGAAAGTAAGGGGAATTATCCAAAGGGTCCCAAAGTATAAGGTGAATCTTGTGGAATACTAGTCAAAATGGTAAGATCCAGGGAAACTTTCCCATATTTTTGCCCCCTCCTCTACTTCCAATTTACGGATGCTGGTGAAAGAATCAGTTTTCTTTATAGTGACCAACTTGTTAAACATTGGTAAATATTTTCCGCTTCATCCTCAATGAATTATTATTCACACTTAGAAAGCACTTTCTGTGCTATATTAAAATACTGCTAGAAAATAGATAGGATTTGGGGTGCCTGGGTGGCTCAATCAGTTAAGTGTCTGCCTTCAGTCAGGTCATGATCCGGGATCCTGGGATCCAGCACTCCCCCTCCTATCAAGCTCCAGGCTCAGTCAGACTCCATGCTCTGCGGGGAGCCAGCTTTTCCCAACTCCCTCTGCCCCTCCCCCCATCACTCAAGTGCGCTCTCTCTCAAATAAATAAAATCTTTTTTAAAAAAAGATGTAATTTTAAAATACTTCAATAGCACAAAGATATTTTTCTTTCTTCATGCTCTTTTTTACTGTAATGCCATTTACCATAAAATAATTTTTTCTATACATGATCAAGATCTTACATATTGTCCCATCTCCCTTCAGCAAGGGAAAAAAATTCACATCTGCTTCCTTTCTTTCAGGATTTAAACACTACACAAATAATATAGAATAATAAGTGGTTTCTTTTGAAATTTCACTTTCTAATTTAGCAATAAAAAATTTCTGACAATCATTCAAAGCAGCATTTTCTCTACATCTAATAATTCACTTCAGATAATATGTACATCTGTTACAAACATAAATTTTAAAAATTAGCACAAAGAATTATCACTAATTCATAATTTTATACCTTAATACCTATATAAGGTATATAAGAATATCCAGAAAAGAAACTGAAGGCTAATTAAAATTGAGAACAGGTAAGAGATACATAAAAACTCCAACAACTTAAACCAAGAACTAGTTTCAAATGTTCATCCAACCAGTTGGTAATCAATCTCACTGACTCAAAGAAAAGTGAAAAATCTGAGTATTTATTTTAAAATGCAATTTCTCGCTTTTAGATACACACATTTCTCAAGCAAGTAAGAAAAGTTACTGAATCATATTAATTCACCCAGTATTATTTCTGCAGTGACAGTATTAAGGCAAGTCATGCAGGAGATCACCTTAAGAAATTAACCTCAAAAGAGATGCTGCCAAAGTAAACCCAATGTTGTTATTCACAAATTTGGCTAATCCCATTTGTACTTTTAGAATGAACACCCAACTACAATAGCATCCCTGGTAGCCAGTCTCAAAAGGACATGGCCTCCAGCAATTTCCCTCTCAGTTTGTGCGTGTCCTTCCTCTTGCCTACAGGTAGATATTTTTTTCCCCTCCCTCTGACTCTGGGCTGGCCTCAACTGTCTTGGACCAACAGTGACATTCTCAGACTTCCAATCCAAGGAGCAAGAGAACTGGCGTTATGCCTTCTATTTCCTGTCTCTTAGAATGCTCCTTCTCAGAATCCAGCCACCCAGCTCGAGTGAATCCAAAGGCCATGTGGAGAATTGGGGGGGGGGGGGGTCACATAAAGGAGGAATGAAGGTCATTAGGACTAACTGTACTCTTAGCCAGAGGTCCGCTATATGAGTGTAGCCATTTTAAACATTCCAGGTATGTATGCCAACACCCCAGCCCACACCATCAGTCAAGCACAAATTTGAGAGAAATAATAAATTGTTTAAGCTACTAAATTGTGGAGTGGTCTGCTACACTGCAAGTCACCTTTTATACTGTCCCACTTATCTATCAATTCTATAAAAAAGAATTTTATATGCCCTAAAATTATTTCATCCAAGTTTCAAATGTTTCCTCAGATCTAATATTCTGTGATTTTTTATCCTGTTTTCAAAAATAAACTTCAAGTTCATCCTTCTATCCCCCAAATGTATTTTGTTAATATCTGCTTATAAAATGGTGTCTACATTCCCTCAATCATTTTCATTTCTCTTCTCAGATCCTCTTCCAGTTTCCATTTATCTTTTCTGAATTATAATTTTGTTGACCAAGGAAATATTAGTTAAGAAGGGGCTTGAGGACCTGCTAAAGCTAAATAAGATATTAGCATACAGTTACTTAATGTGAACTACTGCTCTAATATCATTTGTTTCTAGAAGTTAAACATTCTGCCTATTTTTCATAAGTATCCAAGGGTAAACTTTAAATCTAGACCATATGGGAACTATGGTCAACTATGAATTAGCAGTTTTGGTAATAAGATTTTATTGTAAAATTCCTAATCAAAGCACCCCATTAATGTTGTAATAAGCAAAATTCATGAAAGACAATATCTATTCCATATTCGCATTTGAAATAAATTTTACATTTTCTTAAAACATGGAAATCAGGGCATCTGTACAAAAACTGCCATTCATAATTTGAAACTGGGGAAAGGGGTAAGGCCAAAACAAAGCCAAATACTACACAAAAATCCCAATTTTATTAAAAGGATCATTCCTCCCTGTGTACTATGCACTAATTACTTGGTACAAGCTCAAATAAAATACCTTCCTATCTCAAAACTGAGTAAAGACATGTTGTAGCAGGGTAAATGGGGCCAAAGTCAAGTTGTAACTTACTCAGATTCATAATAAGACTGTTAACTGAGCTGAAAAATACAAAATCTCTAACTCTCCATTCTCTGCTTCAGTTATTAAGGTGTCCTTCTTGGTGACCCTCTTCTAGTTGGTCTTTTTCTCAAGCAGTAGCCAAAATAACAAGCAAGGTCAAAAATCAAAGTTACTAAAATAAAAGTAAAAATGGTTTCTTCCTATAGAAAGTGACTCAACATTTAATAATGTGTAGTGCCCTAAAAGCTGCAAACTACTACATGGCCATCTCCAGGTCCACTTTAACTCAATCAGGAGACCATTATGAAACATTAACTGACTGGTACAAAGTGGAGATCAAGTAGTTGAGAATGTTCCTAGGCTGAAGTCTAATGGGGAGTAAAGAAGATGATCTCATAATGCCTCTTTATGATCTATAAATCACATTATTCCATAAATTTGACACAAGTATCAAGATTAGGACTTAGTCAACCTCTAAGTAAGAAAACAAAAATAAAAGGCTGCTAATTTTCTGACTTAAATCGAGAAGCTGTAATACAAGTTATTTAGCATAGAGATTATTCCATGTAAAAAATAATGTAAAATATCAAGCAACTTCTTCTTACTCCTAAAGTCCAAAAAAATTTAATATTTTAGAATTTCAACACTGGCAGAAACTCAAGAACCTTCTTCAAACCTAATGGGATTTTGTTAATGATATATTCAAACTTTAGATGTTTTTGAAAGCACGGATACAAAATAAATGAAGTTTTAGTAAATATGACCAGTCTCTGAATATATTCTTTTAAGTGGGGCAGTTTAAAGCAAAATTTCAACTAGGATAATGCCCATGTTTATTTAGATTTGTTTTGGCAAAACAATTTTGTCAGGCAAAAACAAAATAACTATCAAAGAAATGAGATTTGGAGTGCCAGGTTACAATTACTTTTGAAAAAGTAAGACTCCACTGTAAATAATATTAATATCCCTAAAGCTACCTGTTAAAATAGCAGTCTAGGCATTCCATCATTCTTTAGCTGTAACCACAAAGTCTGGTTTTACACCTAGGATATACAAGAAGCATCAGATTAAAAGCATCAAATATCAGCCTACATAAATTTGCCAAACAAGCATAGCAAAAGAAAAGCAGATACAAAGTTAAAAAACTAGGCTCCAAAGGATTTCAATACACCCAACAAATTCCAATCCAAGTTCATACTGTGCTTCAACCTAAAACTGGTAAATTACCACCAATTCTGACATTTCCTATTCCCCACTAGTTAGATCTTCCCTTATCTCCTGAATTTCCCCACGGATCTTATCACTTCTTAGGAGTCTTGCAATGGTAATCTCCATGGCCTTTCCTTTCTAAGAAAGTGATAGCACCAAGCCCCCATACTTTATTTATTTTATTTTCTTTACTATTTTGTTTTACCCTATGAGATATTAATTTTTTCCCCAAGCTCCTGTACCCATGTTTTCCTGACAGATCAACCTCTTGGTTTTTATCACCTCACTTCGTCCTCGCTACAATATTTACCCTCTCTTTTCAAAGCAGAGTATGTATCCCTTTTTCTGACATTTGTAATTCTGGCTTACCGTCAACACCCCCTTCCTTCTCTAGAGACTATCACCATAGTCCTAGGTCTCCTTAACCTCCTAAGTAAGGTCTCTACCTTTCCAGAGTTTGTCAACATTAGTTCGGCCAAACTGGGATTGTACCCTGAAGGCAAAGGCTATCTCCCCTCCTCCCCACCCCACCCCCACATTCGACAAAACTACAAGTCTCCCACCTGCCCTGGGTTTCTCTCCCCCACCCTTAGATCCCATCTGCATCCCGCCTAGCCCGTCCCCCCCCCCCCCGCCCCCACCCTATATCTCTCCTTCCACTATCCTGCGCTCCCCTTCCCCACTCCTGAACGCACCTCCTCTGCTGGGCCTTACCCGTAACCCTGACACCGAGAAGGCCCTGCCAGCAACCTCACCGCGTCTCTCCTCTCCGCTTCCTCGGCTCTTCAGTAACTGTCCCCACGCCCCCGCTTTCCCTCCAGGGCTCCGCGCGCCGCCCAAAGCCCCCTCCCCGATTAAGCTCCCGCTGTCACTTGGCCTCTCATCCACAAGATGGCGGAGCTGTTGCCCCCACCCCCGGGTCCTCTCCGCAACCCCCTCCCTCCTCCCTAGAGCTCCCGTCCCGTCCCTTCAACTGCCCCAGCCACCCGCCTCGGCCCAGGATCCCGTTGCCCCCTCCTCCCGCGGGCGGTCGGCCCAGGCCGGAGCCTCCGCGACGTCGCCAACGCCACCACCTCCACCGCTCCCCGGCCTGCGCCTTCTCCTCACCATAAACTTGAGCGCTTTTTCCTGCAGCACCGCCTCGGCTGGGTCCATAATCACAGGGGCCACTGGGTCTGCACTCCGCCGGGGCCGCCCCCTTGGTGCCAGGCCGCAGCCAACGCAGCGCCCGGATCCGCCTCCTCTTCCTTCCCCCCGCCCTCCCTTACCTCTCAGGCACCGGCAGGGGGCCAGGGAGGACCCGCTGTTCCGTGCACATGCGTGAGCCCGCTGGCTCACGGGATTTGTAGTGCTGGAGTTTCCGGCGGCAAAAAGTGAGGCCTCGACTCGAACCGCAATTCCCGAGGTTCACTGCGGCACGGTCGCGGTGGCCGAAAGCCAAATCTAGACAACTCGCCATCAAGTGGAGAAAATCGGCTGATGGGAATCGTAGTTTGCAGCCTCTACGGATGGGAAACGGGAGGAGGCACGGGTGTCTCCGTGGTTACCGAGCGACGCCAGTGGCTGCTTGCCTGGCATTTGATAGCACGATGGCGACCATTGCCTCACCTGTAGCCCAAATACTGGAAAAAACTGTGAGAGGACTCAGAGGTCCGAGCAGCACCTCACAGACCAATGCAGAATTTCAGGGTCCTTCTAACCTTTCACCCCCACACTCTCCTGAGGACCTTATTCTCCCCCCACAAGAAGTCAGGGCCAAAGAGAACTCACCTCAGGAAATTCTTGGGTGTTTAGTGCTCAGAAGGCATGGCTGGTACTGCTAACCCTGGGACTGAAGCCTTGCACTGAGGGCCTTCAGTGATCGGATACAACGGCCATCCAGCACATAAAGCTTGTTAAGTATTCAGTTTGGCCTTGAAAGGGACAGTACGATTTTATTTTGGAGATTGGGTCTGCCCTAAATCTCTCAACACCAGGGTTGGGCTAAAAGTGATAGGCTAGTACAGAATATCCAAATTGATAAAATAAGTGAATTGGGAAAATGCCTTTTCACTTACAGTAACATTTTCCATTGTAAACTCTTTTATTCATCTGTTCAACGAACAGTTAGATCATGACTGTATCCAGACATGATCCTAAGAAATGGGGATTCACTGGTGAACAGGATAGACCCAACCTTGTAGAGCTCACATTCCTAGTATGTTGATATTTTGTTCTAGTCAACTCTATATCCACAGAACTCAGCATACATAATACATAATGGGCTTTCACTTAATAAAAAGTTTTATTCTTGATTTTAAAAAAGTTCTACACAAGTGCAAAGTGGAGAAGATTTCAAAGTCATATACATGAAAACTACCTACAAGTTTTCATAGGATAAAGTGGTATGTGACACAGTTGCCAAATATGCTAAAGGAGTTCTAGGCAGCTTGAAGAGTAGTGTCAGGGGAATAGAGGCTTATGGTCTTTGTTTCGAAGCAGTCAGACCACACCCGGAATACTTTGTTCAGTTATGGGCACCATGTCCTACAGACGTGGTATGCAGGAGCATAGCCAAAGCCAGGATGACCACAGGAGAAAATACTGGTGGATGCTTACTCCAAAAAAAAGAGCACTTAGAAATAACATGACAATTAAATTCAAATGTTTGAAAGTATTGGAAGGCATTTGTAGATAGTATATGACAATAATTACAGCTGTCCCTTTATTAGCTCTTTGTTTCAGGCATGTACTAGGAATTTTATATTCATAATCTCTAATATGGGACGCCTGGGTGGCTCAGTCAGTTAAGCTTCTGCCTTCGGCTCAGGTCATCATCCTGGGGTCCTGGGATTGAGCCCCTGCTCAGCAGGGAACTGGCTCCTCCCTCTGCCCTCCCCTCTGCTTGTGCTCTCTTTCTCTCTCTCTCTCTCTCTCTCTCTCTCTTCTTCTCTCTCAAATACATGAATAAGATCTGTTTTAAAATTTTACATAATCTCTAATATGCATAACAATCTCTAATATTCATAGTAACTCTGTAAAATAGGCATTGTTATCCCTAATTTACAGAAGAGACTGATAGAAGATAAATAACTTGCACAAGTCATACAGCAAATTACAATGTCAGAATTCTGACCCAAGTCTGCTTGAGTCCTAAGGCCTGTGCTATTTTCACTGAACCACAGTTCAGTGTCCTAGGACAGACTCAAAGTTTTCTAATAATCAGCGCTGTACTGGCAAAGGAATGGACCACCCATTCCTGAAAACATATAGAAGCAAGATGACTACTGTCAAGTAATGTCTAGAGGGCTTCAGTTTGGGTGGGAGGGTAAAGCCTTTTAAACCCTAAGACTCTATTTTGTTGAGAGGTCATTCCTTTGACTTTGTTATCCATAGAGGAGTATGAAACTACTGCTGGATAAGGCCGGCAGTCAGTGACAGTCCTCACTTTGTCCAGCCACGTAGAGGTAAGGATTAGTAAAATAAATCCAAGGAGTTCTTGTTTGAAAACACAATCAGCTAGATAGTTCATATGGGTATGGATTGGAAGTGAGCTGGCAGGGACTAGGGACAGAAAGCGTAAATCCTCTTTTTTGAAAATAGACTGCTTATGGTCAGTCCAACTGAGAAATCCAAGTATAAACTGCCTTGGTTTTGAAGCCTCTCCTATCCAGCATAGCTTAGGAATGTTCATTGGACTGGATGTTAAGAAGTCTGGTTCTAGCCCATCCTTTCTCCAGCTAATTCGTTTACTGGACAATTAGCTAAACCTCTCTGGTCCTCTCTCGTCATCTGGAAAACAAAGATCTCTGCCAACTCTAAAATGGATGCACTTATGAGCCTGTTACAGGGCAGATGCTCAAGGAGAACACCTTGAATCACTAGAACCTTTTAAAGCTTCATTTTACTGAAAAATTGGATTTCCAATATGAGAAATCACAGCTACTACTGGACTTAAATGATCCCAACCTCCTGGTTTCAGACCTCAGAGTATTCTTTGGCTCATTCTTGTCTATTAGTGTCTGTCTTCAATCTATCAAAATGTCTCTTCTGTCCTCTACCTCCAATACTAGTCTGTTCCCGACTATCACCATTTTTTTTGCCTACTTCTCTATATTTATTTCCAGTCCAGTTCTGTGACTCCAGGCTCTCCTTCCACCACTTGTGACACTTTTTAAAAAATATTTTATTTATTTATTTATTTGACAGAAAGTGAGAGGCCGCACAAGCAGGCAGAGCGGTAGACAGAGGGAGAGGGAGAAGCAGGGTCTGCGCTGTGCAGAGAGCCCAATGTAGGGCTCGATCCCATGACTCTGGGATTATGACCTGAGCTGAAGGTGGGTATGCTTAACTGACTGAGCCACCCAGGTGCCCTTGATACTGTCTTTTAGATTTCACTTGCATCACAGTTCTTCCCTACTCAATCTTTCTTTGTCTCTCCCATCTCCATTATCTTTGTTTAAATTCCTTATCCCGCTTTTCAGAACTTCACAATCTTACCCAGTCCCCTGTCCAACCTTACTTCCCACTTTGCATTGGTATGTCCCTTGGCTCCAATCAGACATTCCTCCTACACACCTGCTCAGCATACTCCTGCCCCCGGGCCTTAGCTTACTGTATTCATTTCTGACTTCTAGAAGTTTTCCCTTTCTCCCTCTTTCCTATTCATCTTTCAAGGTCCGATTTAAATCTTTAAAAAAAAAAAAATAGTTGTCTAGGGTCACCTGGATGGTTCAACTGGTTAAGCACCAGACTCTTGATATGGGCTCAGGTCTTAATCTCAGGGCTGTGAGTTCAAGCCCCACATTGGGTTTGGAGCTTACTTTAAAAAAAATAGTTGTCTAATTAATTATTCGCTTTTAGTACATAGCTTTTTCCCTTTTCCTTCCCCCATAGACAATTTTTGCCTTTTTGTGTGTATGGTTCTTGCAAAATAGTTATTCACGTGTTACAATTTTAATTCTATTAAATATTGTTTATATATCTCATTCTATATTATATGTGTAATACTGTCTTTTTTAAAGATTTTTTTCTTATCGATTTGACAGAGAGAGAGATCACAGAGATCACAGAGAGGCAGGCAGAGGGAGAGGGGGAAGCAGGCTCCCTACTGAGCAAAGAGCCTGATGTGGGGCTCGATCCCAGGACCCTGAGATCATGACCTGAGCTGAAGGCAGAGGCTTAACCCACTGAGCCACCCAGGCACCCCTGTAATACTATTTTTTATATTGCATTATGTTTCATACTTTTTTCACCGGGTGCCTCTGGGTTTTTTTGTGTGTGTGGGGGGGGGGTTTGCCTATGGTTTTAAAATCCATTCATGTTGTTATGCGTACATCTAACCTGTTGCTTCTAAACACTGCATAGTAGCATGATGATGTGTCTGCCCCATGTTACCTGTCCACTCTCCCAGCAAAGCCTACAGTTCCCAGTCACCCCCAATAATGCTGCAGCAATCAGCCTCCTACATATCCCCTGAGTAAGAGTATCTGTGGGAATACATATCTAAGATCACACTTGCTGGTTCATAGGCTATTAAGGACCCTGAATTGGACATGTAGTGCCAAACTGAAGTACAGAAAGACCAGAACAGTCTACACTTCCAGCATACTGTACCATTGCACTCGGCATCATCCAGCTTTCTATTTTTTTTTTTTAATTTGCCAGTCTATACATTTACCTTCTTTAAGAAAGCCCACAGGGGGGTGCCTCTTGATTTTGGCTCAGTCATGATCTCAAGGTCATGAGATCAAGCCCTGCATTGGCTCTGTGCTGAATGTGGAGCCTGCTCAAGACTCTTTCTCTCCCTCTGCCCTTCCCATACCTTCATGCTTCCTCTCTCTCTTTTTTTTTTAAAGATTTTTTTTTATTTGACAGACAGAGATCACAAGTAGGCAGAGAGGCAGGCAGAGAGAGAGGAGGAGACAGGCTCCCTGCTGAGCAGAGAGCCCGATGTGGGGCTCAATCCCAGGACCCTGAGATCATGACCTGAGCCGAAGGCAGAGGCTTTAACCCACTAAGCCACCCAGGTGCCCCATCTCTCTCTTTTTTTTAAAGATTTTATTTATTTATTTGACAGACAGAGATTACAAGTAGGCAGAGAGGCAGGCAGAGAGAGAGGAGGAAGCAGGCTCCCTGCTGAGCAAAGAGCCCGATGTGGGGCTCGATCCCAGGACTCTGAGATCATGACCTGAGCCGAAGGCAGAGGCTTTAACCCACTGAGCCACCCAGGTGCCCCCATGCTCCCTCTCTTAAAAAAAAAAAAAAAAAAAGCAAGCCCAAAAGGCTTATGCCCTTCTTTAAGCACACTGCTCTGCTCTTCTAATCTTTATCCCCGTAATGTGTGATTGTAACACATAGCAGGCTCAAGCCAGAAATAATCCATGTATGCCTTTGCTTTTTTTCTCATTCCATCACATTCCCT